AAACCCAAAATGCCTGTCCCAAAAAATTAGCATATCATGAAACGGTTCTCTAAACAAGCTATTAACCTAACCATCTGAATCAACGACGTAACTCTAAACACCTGCAAAAGATTCCTGAGGCTTTTAAAAACTCCCGGCCTTGTTCATTACTCAAAACCGCAATCATGGGTAAGACTGCCGACCTGACTGCTGTCCAGAAGGCCATCATTGACACCCTCAAGCAAGAGGGTAAGACACAGAAAGAAATTGCTGAACGAATAGGCTGTTCCCAGAGTGCTGTATCAAGGCACCTCAGTGGGAAGTCTGTGGGAAGGGAAAAGTGTGGCAGAAAACGCTGCACAACGAGAAGAGGTGACCGGACCCTGAGGAGGATTGTGGAGAAGGGCCGATTCCAGACCTTGGGGGACCTGTGGAAGCAGTGGACTGAGTCTTGAGTAGACACATCCAGAGCCACCGTGCACAGGCATGTGCAGAAAATGGGCTACAGGTGCCGCATTCCCAGGTCAAGCCACTCTTGAACAAGAGACTGCGTCCGAAGCATCTCGCCTGGGACTGCTGCTGAGTGGTCCAAAGTTATGTTCTCTGATTACAGTAAATTTTGCATTTCCTTTGGAAATCAAGGTCCCAGAGTCTGGAGGAAGAGAGGAGACACAGAATTCACATTGCTTGAGGTCCAGTGTCAAGTTTCCACAGTCAGTGGGGTGTCATGTCATCTGCTGGTGTTGGTCCACTGTGTTTTATCAAGGGCAGGGTCAATGCAGCTAGCTATCAGGAGATTTTGGAGCACTTCATGCTTCCATCTGCTGAAAAGCTTTATGGAGATGAAGATTTCATTTTTCAGCACGACCTGGCACCTGCTCACAGTGCCAAAACCACTGGTAAATGGTTTACTGACCATGGTATTACTGTGCTCAATTGGCCTGCCAACTCTCCTGACCTGAACCCCATAGAGAACCTGTGGGATATTGTGAATAGAAAGTTGAGAGACACAAGACCCAACACTCTGGATGAGCTTAAGGCCGCTATCGAAGCATCCTGGGCCTCCATAACACCTCAGCAGTGCTACAGGCTGATTGCCTCCATGCCACACTGCATTGAAGCAGTTATTCATGCAAAAGGATTCCCGACCAAGTATTGAGTGCATAACTGAACATGATTATTTGAAGGTTGGCGTTTTTTGTATTAAAAACACTTGCCTTTCATTGGTGGGATGAAATATGCTAATTTTTTGGGACAGGCATTTTGGGTTTTCATGAGCTGTATGCCATAATCATCAGTATTAAAACAATTAAAGACCTGAAATATTTCAGTTGGTGTGCAATGAATCTGAAATATATGAAAGTTTCATTTTTATCATTACATTATGGAAAATAATGACCTTTATCACAATATGCTAATTTTTTGAGAAGGACCTGTATATATATGGTATGGTATGGTATAACGTTTAAAAAAGTACAAAACAATTCCATAACAATATAAAAAAAAGATACAAAAGATTTAAAATGAAAGGCAGCAGAAAGAAGAAAAAATCTTTTTATATCTGCCCCTTTTTTCAAACAATTATTTCAATCATAATAATTTTCAAGTAACAGAACAAAATGAATAACTCTAATTTTTCTAATTCTAATACAAAACACACACTAAGCTACTTCATATATACTTTTTTAACAATTCAGTTTTGATCTTTTTCTTAAATGTACACATTGACTTGGCATTTTTCACATCACTCTCTAGAACATTCCACAATCCAACTCCTTGGATTGAGGTAGACCTTCCCTTCAGACTAGTTCTGAATTTTGGTTTGACAAATATCTCTATCCCCTTAAGATTGTAACAACTTTGTCTTTTAACAAAATTTCTTTGGATATTTAATGGTAATGTGTTATTTTGAGCCCTATACATAACTGATAAAATACTGTAATCTACTAAATCATGGAACTTCAATAACTTCAGTTGATAAAATAATGTGCTTGATGGGTGACTGTCATGCTTTCTGGTGATAATTCTTACAGCTCCTTTCTGTAAAATAAAAATAGGTTTTGTAAAGGTTTTACACGCTTTCCCCCAAACATCAATGCAATAGATTAAATGTGGAACAATGATTGTGTTATACAACATGTACAGAGCTTTATCATTTAATAATTCCCTGACTTTGTATAGTACTGCAATAGATTTAGATATTTTTGTTCTTACAGAATTGATGTGATTTTTCCATGTTAGCTGTTCATCAATGATTACACCCAAAAATTTCATCTCATTAACTCTACAAATCTCAACACCCTCAATTTTAAATGGATCATCAACAGTTCTCTTTTTGTTACTAAATATCATGTATTTAGTTTTATCTAAATTTAATGACAATTTATTAAGTTTAAACCAAGTTTGTATTTTATCAAATTCTGTCTTCATCAATTCCAACATCCGTTTCACATCTTTACCCAAACAAAAAAATGTGCTGTCATCTGCAAAAAGAACACATTTGAGGAGTCCTGATACATTCACCAAGTCATTCACATATAAAATAAACAACTTTGGTCCAAGTACAGAGCCTTGAGGAACTCCACAAGTGATATTGCACAGGTCAGATCTTACACCATTTATTTGTACAAACTGTTTCCTATCTTTTAAATAGCTAGATACCCAGTGTAATGCTGGTCCTCTTATACCATATTTATTTAATTTTTCAAGGAGAATAGTGTGGTCAATAGTATCGAATGCTTTTTTAAATCAACAAAAATACTAACACAATACCGTTTTTGATCTACAGCAGTAGTTATTTGTTCTATTATTTCCATGAGAGCCATTGATGTAGAGTTTTTTTGCTCTAAACCCATACTGACTGCTACTTAGAATGTTTTGTTTAGTAATAAATTTATCTAATCTGGTCACAAACAGTTTTTCTAGAATTTTTGAGAACTGTGGTAATAAGGATATTGGTCTATAACTATTGAACACACATTTATCAACATTTTTAAATAGAGGAATTACCTTAGCTACTTTCATATTTCATATATATATATATATATATATATATATATATATATATGTCTATACTATGATCCATTGCAAATTAAGAGTTTATGTGATATGCAGATACTTAAATTCTGTTTTTATATACAGTTTAAATAATATTTCTTCTTCTTCAGAATTGGGGTTGTACATAGCTGGACAAGATGTATTTGAACTAGTAACAGTTCACGCTAAAAAAACTGAATTTGTTATTGACATATATAAAATATCAACAGTTTTTACATACGTATGGATCATCCAGCTATGAAGTTAGCATAAAACAAAGTCATAAAATGCATTGAAAGTTTTTTCTTTCTGACAAATTAGAATTAAAGAGAGTTCAGATAAAAACTTGTTTTTTGAAATCCTCCATAATTATTACTGCCCATATTTTTGACTGACAGCTGGAATTATAAAGACCTATTTTGAAGATGAAATAAAACATGTTTTTATTAAATTTACTGTATGTTATTCAAAATAAATATGGTGGGGTGAAGCAATGTACAATGTCTGTGGTTCACTCGTTTACCAGAAACAGCGAAGACAAGTTTAAATTTAGAGGTGTTTTTGTTGTCTTTCTGCAGGTGAAGCATCCGGCCAACAACGATGCACAGAGGGCAAAGAAAGCACGGTGGATTAGAGGAGCCCAGCTGTCAGGATCATTGTAATATCCTGTAAACAACTACAGCAAAAACAAACTGGCTGTAAGCCTTGAAAACAATACAAAAAAAAAAAAAACACCTGCAGAAAAAAATAGTCTACCCTTTCTTTTGTAAAGCAGAGAAGAGACAAATGTGGCCACACAACTGGAGATGAAGAATGGGCAGTGCCAAACAGGATTTATGAGAAAGACATTTTGTTTCGGAGCAGCTGCAGAGATCTACCATTCGCTGAGGATTCCTGTTTGTGTCAAATGAGTCACACTGTTCTGGCTGACGACTACCAACCACCACCAGTCAAACAGGCCTAATTTTAATACCCCTTTAAATTCTTTATTTAGTCCAGTTTAGGCCAAGGGTCCATCATAAAAACAATTGCAAAATTATTCATGCAGATTTGCTCACTTTGGCAACCTCTTCAGAAAAAAGCATCTGAAAGAAAAACAATAGCGTTACTTTATGTAACTTTATTTTACTTGACAAGCTAACAAGAACATTTTGTTTAACAGTCATTAGTAAATCAACATCCTTTTTGAAAAATTTATTGTGCTTTTATTTTTAGGCTTCACCAGATTTGGAGGAAAAAAATTTAGAACTGTCAGTAAAGCCACTCTCAGCTGGAGGAACTGTTTTCTCTGGTCTAATATTAACTTTAGCATAGCTACTTTCAGTCTCAACTGTAAAGCAAACATTCAGAAAACGGAGGTGTTACTGTATGATCGGAGTGTGAGGCATGTGTGACGGTTTTCAAACGATTTAAAAATACAAACTGACGCAACCTGAGGCAGTTTTAACAGCAGACTGAACCAAAATCAATACTCTTGTTCAGTCCATGACCCAGCAAGAAACAGAAGCTTACTGCAACCTTTGGTTACATTAACTGTTTATCCCCGCACATATGAGACTCTCCCCAGGCAAATCAAGTACATTAACTGTACGGTAACCTTTTTACCCAAAATACTGTCTTGTTTCAGCTTGAAAGGAAAGGTTACAATTTAGGCAAATATGTCACTATTGATGTAAACTTAGATTTTCAGAAAAATTGCAGTACTGCCTGCCAATGCCACAGCTGACAAAAATGTTGTTGGCATTTGAAAAGAAAAAGTAACACTGTTTAAAACTTTAAATTGTGTTTGTCTACACTTATAAGACCACTAATAATTCAGATAATTTTTTAAACTGATCAGGATTTTCATTTTTTTGACAATTCTGGCCAATTTTGTGATGTTATAAATGCATTTACAAATGTTTAGCTAAAAACTCTCAGTATCCAGGATAATCATCTTTGGATCTAGATTCAACCCCATCTTGGAAACTACGAATAGCGGCCAAATGAACCAAACAGACTGCCCTGAGGTGAAGTTCCCCTTCACTGTCTTCTTCATTGTTGGAATAGTCAGCCTGGCTGAGAACCTCCTGGTTGTGGTGGCAGTCATCTGCAACAGGAACCTCCACTCACCCATGTACTGCTTCATCTGCAGCTTGGCTGCCTTCAACACTATTGCCAGTGTCACGAAAACCTGGGAAAATCTGATGATAGTTTTATCTGATGTGGGACAGCTGGAGAAGAGGGGCCCATCTGAGACGAAGTTGGATGATGTGATGGACTCACTGCTTTGCATGTCGTTTGTGGGCTCCATTTTCAGTTTCCTGGCTATTGCTGTGGATCGGTATGTGATCACGCTTGGACTTGTACTGTACCGAAACATTTCACCTGTCACACCTAAATGCATACACACATACATACATACCTACATACATACATACATACAAACCTACATACATACCTAGATATATATCTACCTTCATACGTACATACCTACATACCTACCTACATACAAAACTACTATACATACAAA